CCTGAAACATTTTGAGCACTGACAACACATTTCAAGTGTAAAGTTCCATGCCTGATCTCATGTGATGGGTCACAGTCAAAATGGGTACAAAAACACAGATAGGATGAATAAGTTCTATCATGCTGTTTGTTACACAGGAAGGTGATTGTATTTAGCAATATTGTATTATATAAATCAAAATAGTTAGAAGAGTGGATTTTGAATGCTTTTATCACAAAGAAACTATAAATGTTTGAGATGATGGGTAATCTAAACATCTTGAGCTGATCATTACACAATGCATATCCTTATAACCCACATATATATACAATTATTATCTGTCATTTGAAAATAACTTAAAAACACAGGTATACTTATAATATTAATGTATTAAATTACCTTCAGGCTATGTGTGTGTATGCATATATGAATTTAGTAAATTTCATGCTAAGACATGGATCCCACCCCAATATTTCTTATTATATATATACACACATATTCCAAAATCTGAGTCTATCTGAAATCTGAAACAGCTCTTGTCCCAAGCATTTTGGATAATGAATATTCACCTATACTCAATTTATAACCTACTAACCATGAACAAATACCATCTTTCTTTCACAATATCTAATGTTTGCATTGACAGATGTTGTTATCACTCCCCTACAGGCTACACTTAAAACAGATAACAGTTAGAATGACACAATCAGATAAGACTCATTGTAACATTTATTTTCTATTTTTGTCCCTTCTTCAAATCTTTGATTCTATATAAAAAATTCATTCTTACTGCAAACTAGTATTTCTTCAATTAAATCCATTAAATTGTTATATTATATTGAAGTCTAATTTATATTTCACCCTCGAGTAGTCTATTAAAAACCTTAGAACATTAACTGGCAATATTAACTGGAAATATGAAAAAATGATTAAATGCTAGACAGAATGATAAACTGTAGAAAAAAAATTAATATGGATTATTCCAGCTGTGCTACTCAGTGATATATTAATTTCAGAAAATAGTGTTCTTTTGTGAAATTCACAATTATAATTAAATTTCTATTAAGTTTATTTTTGCCCACAGATTTAAGCTCTAGTACTTCATAGGCATATTGAAGATATTAATGTATAAATTAATATTGGAATTATAGTATCTTCCTGTCATCTTAGGTTTATAAGATATCTGGCTTCAGTACAGATACACAGCATTGTTCTGACTAGAGTATTACCTGGAGCTAAGAGAAAGCCAACACTTCCCTTGAGCATTTGAAAAACCCATAAATAACATCATCATAGATATATCTTCGAATTATAATTTCTACCCTTCCCTATACAGGCCCTTTGTTCTGTTCTCAATTTGAAACCTCTGATGTCTAATGATAATTCTAAAAGGTACCCTGGGGATGTTCTACCATTGTCAATATTTACAAGCAGATATTGCAGTAACATCTAATGTTTGTCAAATTGTGTTTCATGATTGCCAAAGTGCAGAACTTTCCGAATCATTCAAATTGTGATGTAGCTTCTTTCATGAGCTTCACAGCAATATATTGAGTGCATGTAGTTTTACAGTCATTTTTCAATTGATATAGTTCATTTAGTTTTTTTTCTTTGTATTTAGCAGTGAATACATGAAGGCTGAGATAGAGACTTATTGGAAGAGCAGATATATGTCTATTGCCATGCATTCTTTCATTTAGGAACAGATAAAATCTTCATAAATCCTCTCGTACCCTAGGAAAAGCATATTTTGATAAGAAGTAACCTAGTTCACCAGGTTTCTCTGACTATATTCAACTTGACTGAGGGAAAAATAACTTAGAGCATCAGCTTCTGAAAGTAGAACCACTTTTTTTCAGAGCAACAAAAAGATCATCCTAGACAGAAGAGCCAATCATCTAAGAATCTCTGAAGCATGAGATTCATAGAGTTTATTTTTGCAAAAGTATAGCATAAATATGACTTAAATCAAAGACTTACAGGGAGATTACCAAATTCCAAGGTTAGAACTACCCATAAATCAGGTCACTTACCAGATATCTCCTCTAGGCACTGCTTAGCAGTCTTACTATACAAGGAGTCCATCTTTGTAGGACTGGTACAGGAATCAGCAGATGGTAAAGAGGTACCTTCATTTTCTGAATGTGCTCTGAAATTAACCAAGACAGAAACAATCAGCAACTGTAGTCACAGTGACTCATCAAAGTGGAAGTTCTCCAGCACACAAGAAGAAATCAATTTATTATAAGTTTCCATCAAGATAAGACAGATTTGCTTATGGTGAGATATTCCAGGGCTGTCTATCTGTATGAGAATTTTTCAACTTTTCATATACAACTAAACCAGTAATGAGGTGTTATGTCAGCTTTTCTAAATTTGAAAGTTTATAACCAACCACCAAGAGTTAATTACATTTATCGGGTAAAATACTTGGAAAGAGATGATTTTTTTGGTCTATTTTATAGAAAATCAGGCCAGTTTATGAGAATAATAAAAACATTGAAACAACACTTAAACTTTTTTTCCCCAAGAAAATCCTACAACATATATCCCCAAATACACAGGATGAATAAAAATGAAGAGTTCATTGTGGCTACAAATATTATAAGGATTCAATTTCCAAAATTTCAGAAGACTTAAAGTAAATGAGAAAAAAATTCTCATTCTTAGATCTTCTATTAGGTGTTTTCTATCTACATGCACCTGCATACTGTGTGTTTATGTATGTGGCTAACTTGTAAAGGTAGGTCTGATCAATGGAAAGCACTCAACAGAGGGACAGCAGAACTTCTGATATTCTAAACTTACTTCTTGCAACCTTTTCCTGTTAAATGCAGGCAAACGTTCTAAGAAACTCTTCTTGATGTAGCTTCAAAAATCTACATATATTTGATCTCAACCACCACATCTTTAAAAAATTCAGAGCGTGAACTTCTAAGACACAGAAGGAGGCAAGGCAACACAGCAAGCACTGCATGCTGCATGGTGTGCTTTATTAGACATCTGCTTACTCACAGTATTGCTTCTAACACAAGGTCTGGACCATGACAAGTTATTGCTGAATATTTATAACTTTAAAGATTTATAGAAATACTTTTATGTGAAAAAGTTTCTTCTTAATAAATTTTAATAAATATATTGCTTTTATTCTAAATCTTGGTTTTGAGGGGAAACCCCCCCCCAAATTGTAATCATTGATATCAGAAATAGTTCATATTTAACTGACAGATGAAGAACCTGAAATTTTCATGAAGATTTTAAGACATCATAGAAAACGAAATGCTATATGGATGGATAGTTGTATCTGAGATGATGCATAAAAGAATGACAGACCAAGAATTCCTATACACAGCTGTGTCTTGACCTCCAATAATTTCTGGCAGACTATTCATATTTATTTGGATTTAAAACTGAATATAATAAGCATAACCAATTTAAGTCAGAAGTTACAATATTCAAGCAACAGGACATACCATTAAGGCCAGCAAAGATCTCAGTGTTGTTAAATTCAACAAATATTTTTAGTCTTTTCCTTTCTTGATATCTTGGTAGTATTTCAAGAAGCAGACTACTTGGCTCTTCAAGAAACTATCCTACCTTGACTTCTATGCCAGCATCTTTCACTTTGTTTCCCATTCTCTCTGGAGACTACATTTTTCCTTATTTACTTTCCCTTAGTGCTCTCTGAACTTACACTTTTCCAGTATTTTATACACTTAAAATATGAAATTAATACAATTGGCTACTGTTTATCTCTCAAATTAAGATTTTCTTCGCTATGTTTAAGCTTTCCATTGCACTTGAAAGTCTAGTCCCATGTCTACGATAGAAGTAGCTCTCAACAAATATTGATAAATGAGTGAATAAACCATATCAGTAGTGACAGTAAAACAGTATCATTGGAGGATGAAGAATAGAGAAGAAAAAGTTGCACAATGGTGTGTGCATGTGGGTTTAAAACTTGGCCCTATCCACTGTTGGTGGGGTTGCAAATTTGCACAACTATGGAAGTAAGTATGGAGGTTCCTCTAAAGACTAGGCATGAAATCACCACATGACCCAGCTATACTACCCCTCATATTTATCCTAAAGGATTAAAGTTAACCTACTATAGTGATATAGGCATACCCATATTTATAGCAGCACAATTCGCAACAGCCAAATTATGGACCAGGGTAAGTGCCCAATGAACAATAAATGGATAAAGAAAATGGGATATATATACACAATGAGTTTTATTTCACCATAAAGAAAACTGAAATTATGTCATTTGCAGGAAAATGAATGGAGCTTGAGAACATTGTATTAAGTGAAGTAAGCCAAATTCAGGAGGTCAAGAGTCATATTTTTTTATTCATATTTGTGGAAGGTGGAGAGGAAAAATGTAAAGAAAGTTTGGGGAGTGTGTCTCATGAAAATAAAAAGGGAGATGCGTAGTACAGAGGAAAGGGACCAAGAAGTGGAAGGAGGGGAGGAAAAGGAGGAGTGCTGGGAAGTAATATTGATCAAATTATACTGTTATATTAAATACAGGTACAAGGATGCAGCACAGACCCCACAATTATGTATGACTATAATGCACTAATAAAAAATGTGGGAAAAAACAAGCTTGATGCTATCACTAAAGAGTTATTAATTCATATGATCTTGGCAAGTTACTTAGATGCTCTGAGCTTTAGTTTGTTCACCTATAGAAATAGAGAAGTGCAAAGTCTTGAAAAATAATTGTGAAGTCAAATGTTATTATTATTAAAGGTCTAAAAAGTAACTTTCTTGAGGCATGTGGGGTTCTGGTCAATACCAAAACAAGGACCATATCTGGCTCTGAATAAAGAGAAAAAGTCCTCTGATGTTTCTAAGGGTTTTTATTACTTGTTGAAGAAATTTAAATGGAGAGTAAGTAGTGAGACTAGGGTCCCCAAGGAAAGCTGACAGGCTGCCTGCCAAGAAGTGTCACAAAGGCACCATGCCTTGGTGAGCTGGCTGCGAGCCAGCACTGGCCTATTGTCCAGCAGACTGCATATTCATGGATTCATCTCTCAGCGGCTGAGTTATATTAAATAGCTCCCTGAGATGGCTGTCTATAGCTCAGTTCTAATTGGTCCTATGACAGCTGCTGGTCCTAGGAGTTAGAATGCTGGTGGTCATGTGAGTTATAAAGATTCCCAGTATCTTCTTCTAGAATAATCTGTAAAGGGAGAAAGAATATTCAGAATGTGTTTTGGTAGTAGAAATTTTGCTTTACTCAAAACAGGTCTTAAATGGCATTCTTCAGGAGCTGAATTTTGGTTATCATCCTTAATGTTTGAGATTTATTTATTCAGTTTCATTGGCTAAGACCCCATACCCATTAAGACACTCTTTTATAATGTGTTCATACTTCTGACTGCTCAGCATTGATGTGAAAGCCTTTCATTTTTATAATGTGGCAGTACTTTTTGTCTCTGGTTGATTCACTCCTTACTGCTTTCTAGTCACAAGATAATCTTATTGTCAAGTTCTTTGGTTCATTTGGTTCATTTCCCATGGTAGTCCCCACGTGAGTTATCTACATTACCAATGGAAACAGATTAGTCTTTGAAAGGAATAAAGAGAAGTTAAACTTAGAAGTCATAATTGGTTTATATTCACATGCAAGTGGGACCAGATATCTGGCCTATGCACATTACAGCCCTCCATTCCTGAAATATTTCCAATTCAGTTTGATTAAGTAGAATTATATTTTAAATTCAGTCTATATATTTGCAGACAGTACTAAGTGTGAAACATTTAACTTTTATTCAAATGACCAAAAAAGTTTACTTAAACCTCTGAAGAATCCTCAAGTATCCCTTATTTTTATAACTGCCTCATAACAATTAAATATTTATTTGGGTTTATTTATGAAACAATGTATAAAGACTTCAGAATCTGAAGCTATATTTTGATGTCAGAGCAACTATTACATTAGCATCATTCAGTATTCTCACATTGATATTTTCCTTATATTAAATGAAAAAAGCAAAAATAAGTACTATGATAGTTAGCAGATGTTGTCCTATGTAGACTATCTTGACATGGTTGTCGTGCTATATAGGTACCTAATAAAACTATAAGATACGCCATTGCATAAGTAATGTTAATTTACTTAGAGGTCTAATAAGCTAGGCCCTTAGTACTAGAGGAGATTACTAAGAGTTGTAGTAATTAACAATCAACATTTCACCAATGATTAACCTAAAAGCTATGACCTGATTTTGTGCACCTCTGGAAGATGCTTAACCCAGATTTGAACCAAGCTGACTATAAATTAAGATCTATTAAGCAGTAACCTATAGTTTTACACCATCCAAATACTTCTGGGCACTGAGTATTTTCCTGTATTTGAGGTCCCCTTGGCACACAGACAGCTCAGTCACTAAGTCAATAACAGACAACTGAATGTAACAAAGTCCATTGGTCTACCCTAAATTTTATTATTTACTTACTGGACATTTAAACAAACTTGATAATAAATCCTAGATACTATAAAATTTCAAATTTCATAAATATGGGTGTTTACATATAGATTTATATTAAAAATATGTAAATAACTATATAAATGTGTTTGCATATATATTTAAATATACTGCTTAGTTTTTACTGCTTAGAAAGGTGCAGTGAGATTTTGATTTTATTTTTCATTTATTTATTGTCTTAATATTTTTTAAGATGTTGATAGATCTTTATTTTTTTATTTATATGTGGTGCTGAGGATCAAACCCAGTGCCTCACACATGCTAGGCAAGAGGTTTACCACTGAGCCACAACCGCAGCCGTGAGATTTTAGTTTTAAATACTACTCTCCACAGAAAGAAATCAGGGCTCCTTAAAAGCTGAAGTCAAGTTGTGGAAAGTACAAGATGAGTTTAGAACACTCTGAGCCATTAAAAAATTAAATAAATAAATAAAGGAATTCTCAAAGAGTGGTAGAGAGAGTTTGTCAAGCCAGTTTGAAGGCTTCCAGTATCAAGACTTTTTGAGGGGTACTAGAGATTGAACATAGGGACACTTAATGAATGAGCCACATCTCCAGCCCTTTTAATTTTTTATGTTGACATAGAATATCACTAAATTGCTTAGGGTCCCACTAAGTTAATGAGGTTGGCTTTGAACTTGCAATTCTCCTGCGTGCTGTTGGGATTACAGGTGTGTGCCACCATCATCAGATCAACGTGGGAATATTTAAGCATCAAAATAGGCTATGATAGCAATGGATTATAACCCAGGGAATATAGTAGGAATCCATTAGTCCTCACAATTCAGGTAGATAGGTAGGTGGGTAAGTAGATCGATTGATAGACAGATACTAGACAAGACAGAAATCTGTTTAAATAGATTGTTAAGGAGGAAGAATAATGGTGGGAATATTGGAATTACAAAATAACTTGTCATTCATCAGAATAAATTATTAATTCAGGCTAAAAATCTCAGTGCATGCTAAAACATGGATGAATGTAGATTAAGAAATAGAATTTTTACACATGGTCTCAAAATATCTTCCTACAAAAATGTTTATTAAAAACAAGGAGGATAAAGTAATTTTAAATCAGAAAGTGGCAGGGAATGTTATCTTAAAATTAAGCCATCAAATTAAACACCACAAAAATAAAAAATGTTGGAGATAATATGAGACCATGAGAGGATATAATGGGAATACCATAGCATCATTTCTGTGACATTCCTGACAGATCTATGTATATATGAAGGACAAGCATGAGGAAAATTAGGGGAAAAAAAACAAATTAAGAAATGTACAAAGCCGAGCACAGTGGCACACACATGAAATCCCATGGCTCGGGAGGCTGAGACAGGAGGCTCCAGAGTTCAAAGCCAGCTTCAGCACTAAAAAGACAGAAAGCAGGGCACTAAGCAACTCAGTGAGACACTGTTTCTAAATAAAATACAAAGTAGGGCTGAGGATGTGGCTCAATGTTGGAGTGCCCCTGAATACAATCCTCAGTTAAAAAAAGAAGAAGAAAG